ACTGTTATACTGATCAAGGGATTCTCTCCAAGGGAAATATTTACTTCTCTAGCATAATAAATAAAGTTATACGAAACTGAAAAGTAGTTAAGACAATGCTGAATGGAGAGAAAAAAAAATCTACAACAAACAGTCTCACAAAAAAGAAATCCTATCTCAAATATTCATAATCACAGAAAAAAAAAGAAATCTAACCGATACAAATGAATCTATTCTACCCTTAACCCACCCTCCATTCGTCCCACACATAATAAACACACTAAAAACCTTTGTTTCGCAGGTGTCATGGATCAGGCGTAGGGACTACCACCTCCTCACCGTCGGCCAACACGCGTATAGCAGTGACGAGCGATTCCAGGTCCGCTATGTCAAGCAGGACAATGTGAGTATTCAGAAGGTTTTCAAGGGGGGGGGGCAGGATGTGTGTGGGACTGAGCAGTTTGAGAGTGAGGATCTGTGAGAGTTCCTAGAGAATGAGGATCTGTGAGAGTTCTTTGAGAGTTTGTATTTGTGAGAGTTCCTAGAGAGTCAGGATCTGTAAGAGTTCTAAGAGAGTCAGGATCTGGGAGAGTTCCTTGATAGTAAGATCTGTGAGAGTTTTTAGAGAGTGAGGATCTGTGAGAGCTCCTTAAGAGTGAAGATCTGTGAAACATCCTTGGGAGTGAGGATCTGTGAGAGTTCCTAGAGAGTGAGGATCTGTGAGACATCCTTGAGAGTGAGGATCTGTGAGAGTTCTAAGAGAGTGAGGATCTGTGAGTTCTCAGAGAGTGAAGATCTGTGAGAGTTCTTATAGAGTGAGGGTTTGTGAGTGTACTCTGCGGCTGAGTTGTTAGAAAATGAGGATCTATGAGTGCATTTCAGTACTAAGTTCTAATTTACTAAAAAAGCAGAATGTGAAGATCTCGTGAGTGTGGAACTGAACTCTTAAAAGTGAGGTATAGTATATTATTAGTACTTAGTTCTTAGAAGATTAAGATCTGTGAGTGTACTGTGGGACCGAGTTGTTAGAAACGAAAACAGAACGTCGATATCAGATAAAAAATATATATATATGTATATTTCTATCAATTCCTTCAGAGGATTATGTACGTTTCTTCTGACTTTGTACTTATTTATTTTATTTTTATTTTTAGAGTGAGATGATCTGCTATTGTGATGTAGGTTTATTTGGGTTGAAATGAAGAATCTGTTGGTACAGAATAGGATCATAGTAAAAATATCCCTGATATAGGATTTTGAAAAAGGAGAAATTTAAAGTGAAGTGTGGAGTTAAATCAGGGATAGAGAGAGGTTATGTTAATGAAGGCCATAATATAATACTTATTCAATTAAATGAAGAACTACGGAATATATAATCATATATTAGATAAAGTTACTGAATCTATTTAGTAAGAGGGACAAGAAGATGCCATAAAAGGAATGAAATAGAGTTTAGTTGCTTATATGAATCGGTTAAGATAATTAACTGACAATAGAATGTCTGCAAAGTGATAGCTGTTCTAAAGTAATTAATTATAGCATAGATGCCTAGATGTAATATGAATCTGTGGAATTAGATATGGATGATTTTGTAAATTATGGCAGAAAAATGGCCTCATAAATTCAAAAAAATGATTGATTGATTGCTTTGGCGGATAAATTGATTAGTTGCAACAAAGAGGACTCTTCAGAATTAAGAAGAAAAAAGATACCTCTTTTGCATACTAAAGGGAAATCGTAAATCACTTGTTATGATATAAAATGAAACGAATATACAATGACAACTTACTAAGAACTGAGATCTGTATGGAAATCTCGCGTAGAAGTCAAATTCAAATGATATTTTCAACCTTTATATTTCAGAGAATATTTCTCGGAATCAATCAGAGATGATGATAAAAAAGAAGAAAAAAACAAGAAAGAAAAGTATCTAGTGACACGACAGAATCAGAAAAAAAAATATATTTTTTTTTCAATTCAAATCTCCCTCTCCCGTTATAATAAAAAAAGGTTCACAACAGAAAAGCTTTATTTTAATCTAAAAAAAAACAAAAAGGGAAACTTTGATATTCTGATATTGAGATGTTCCTCTTCTCTCCCAGATTTATAGATTAGAGCTTATGATTCCAGCAGCATTGAGTATGATTTACCGGTGACAGAACGTCGATATGGCTGATAATCAGAAAAATATATATATATTTTCATCAATTCCTTCAGAGGATTATGTACTTTTCTTCTGACTTTATATCTATATTATTTTTCTTCTCGTTTTTTTTCTTCTTCTTCTTCTTCCCTTTTTTTTTCTTTCTTTCTTTCTTTCTTCCCTTTTCTTTCTTTCTTTCTTTCTTTCTTCCCTTTTTTCTCTTTTCTACTTCTCTTTTTTATTCAAAAATTGAGATTGGATAGATGGAAATGACTCCGGCACAGACAAGGGGGGGGGGAGGAGAATTTCGAAGTGTAATTTAAGGCTGTGATCTGAGACATGTCACAGCTGACATGTGAACCCTATGCTGTGTTATAATGAAGATCGTGAATGTTATTTCCGTTATGTTAATGTCGTGATAACATACCGAATGATGGGGATTATTAGTCTAGTTGAAAGTATTGATTATTTATTGAAATAAAATAGACACGGAGGTTAATAATAATTAATTTATAAGTGCCAATGAAGTTTGTGTAAAAAATATTGTAATTATTCGCACTAGTAGAAGGATTGGTGATAGAAAAATAAATCAACAATAGCTATTACTAAAAGTATCGGTATTACGTTATAGTAAAAATAATAATATTAATAATCATCATTATTGTTATCTTTATTACTTATTACTTAGATAATTAGTACAATTATCAGCATAAAACCAACAATAACCATACTAAACAAAGGATCAGAAAGAGAGAGAGAGAGAGAGAGAGAGAGAGAGAGAGAGAGAGAGAGAGAGAGAGAGAGAGAGAGAAAGAGAGAGAGAGAGAGAGAGAGAGAGAGAGAGAGAGAGATGTCTGTTTAAAAATATAATATCCTTTCAGTTAACCAAAGTTACGTGCATTTAAGAGTCAAATCAGACTGAGATTCAGACTTAAAGCAGTAAAATGAAACCAAAGAAAAACGAATTATATAAAGGATTAAAAACTATTAGAAACTTAATTAGATTCGCAGAGGATTTATAATAATAGAGAGAAAAAAACATATTTATGGAGAGATTCTTAAATAATTACTTTAGGAATTATTAGAGACTCCTAAAAAGAGGACAAGAGGAAATACAGAAAGGATGAAATATTGAATAATTGGAAATAGGTGATTGTGAGATTTGCGATGAACATGATTACAGAGCGGAAGGGAAAATTAATGTCACGGAAAATTAACATATAGCGGGGACACTGATGTTCGAAATTATTACTGGGAAATTCTATTGCCATAAAAAAAATGAAGCAGGAGGAAAAAATGCCAAAGAGCCATGCAACTACCAGACGGCTAGACAAGCACCGTGCAACGACTATACAGAACCACCGAATTAAACGAAATGTTTTAGTATTGCATGCAACTCCATTTACTGCAATGGTGCATTTACTTGAACTTTATAAATTGTTGATAAAACATGCTTGCAAGATATTACCAAACAGAACAGGGAAAGTGGAGAAAATCTATGAAATGATTTTAGAAAATATATATACATATTCTATTAAGACACAAGATTAAGACTTTCACAGAAAATTATATACATATTGACGAGAGAAAACACGAAGTTCACATTGTACACACAATATTTTCAAACATGTAGAAAATGTGTTAATACCCTGAAATTATGGAACTACACAATATTATCAAGAACAAATAGGCTCATTAGTTTAAAGTCAGGAAACCAGGAAGCGATACAAAGTGGGACTTAATTTCTGCACAATAATTATTCATTGCACATGATCAAGAGGCGTTGCAGGTATTGCAGTGATAATAAAGGTGAACAGATAAAACGCAAAATAATGTTGGAAACTAATAAACAGACACATTGTTCCCAAAGCGGAGAAGACGACAAATAATTACTTTATATCTGTATAACAACTGTGAAATGAAATGTATGTGAAAGGAATAGATAGATAAATAAACAAAAACATATCGACTTGAGACCCTTTGCAGACGTTCAGGGATGTTTCTGGGAAGATTTTAAAGATGAGATTTCTTTTGGAAAATTTCGTTATAAGTAATGTTAGGACTTGGAAAGTGAATATATAGATAGATAGATAGATAGACAGATAGATAGATAGATAGACAGATAGATAGGTATGTAGATAGATAGATAGATAGATAGATAGATAGACAGATAGATACATACATAGATATAGATATATACATTCATACATCGTTATGTAGATATAAATATGTGTGTAGATAGACAGATAGATATATAGATGTGTGTATAGATAAATATGTAGATATAGGTACAGATACGTGCACATAGATAGACTGATAGATATAGATAGATATGTAAAAGGAAAAAAAGCTGCAAACAAATCAGAAATACTAGAGTTGTTGATTTTCCAAAGAGAAAAATAAATATCAAACTTGAAAATATGTACACGAAAAACAAAAGCAAAATATAATGAACTGTGTGATCTTATCCACCTGAAATTCAGTTTAAAACAAGCTAGTATATTTGAAAGTGAAGGTCAGTTAAGTATAAAAAAAGACTGGAACATTATGTACGATTACAGGAGGGGGGGGGGGGGGTAAAATACTCGAAAGCGGCTTATCTTTCATTTGAAACATTTCAGGAATTGGAATTTTACCTGCTTTTGGCATATCATTTAAAAATTATAATTATAATTAGCTGATTACAAGCAGTGGAAGACTGTCATAAATGAGAAATGGCATCCGAATGATAACGGTACGAAGAGTGGGAAAAAAATGGGATGATGAATATAAAAATAGTAACAGCACCTTATTCATTACGTTGCTAACTTTTTATGTGTTTTAATCTCAGTCGTGGGAGTAGATAACAATATAAAATAAATTAAGTCATTGCAAAGACCAAAAACTAGCTATAATTAATTTCTAAATCCATTTTATATTTCTCCTTATAAATACTGCGATATTTGAAAACAAAAGATTATATTCACGATCCTTAAAACGCTCGCGGAAAACGACATAACAGATTGTCGACGAGAAAACCATTCCACTGATTGTATAGGAAATTGAAACAATACAGATTGGATCGCAGTGGAATGCCCGATCATCAATTCATTTTGTAATTACTAGAGCACGCCCCCAAATTAATTTTTCATCTCTTTGGCTGACAATTCGTCGATGGGCAAAATTCCGCTCGGGTGTTATCAGGCCGATCAGGTGCGTGAGTTGCATAGTACTCATTGCTTATCCACTGGGCCTTTGATTTACTTAGTTCATTCATTTAT